AGGGGGTCGGACTCGATGATCTATTGAGGTCCCTTCCGACCCTAACATCTATGAATCTATGAAAACCATTTTTTGAGGCCCTCCATTGGACTCTCTCCAACGTGTCCACATCCTTTCTGTCACGGGGGACCCAAAACTGGACACAGGACTCCAGATGTGGCCTTCCCAGCGCTGAATAGAGGGGAAGAATCACTTCCTTGCAGAGGTATTTCAACTTTATCCTGGAGTCAAGTCTGGCCCATGGTCCCGGCTGATGCAGACCAGCCTGCAGCAATTTGCAACCAGCCCTGAATTTCAGTTTTAAATATCCTCGCGCCTGCGCCCAAGACCCAGCTTTCCCTCCATTGCAAAACAGCTCGCAGAGGGAGACATCGAGCTGGCCAAGCAGTCCACAAGCCCTTCTATTTGCTCACAGCAGCTGAAGGACAAAGTTCAGCCTCTATCCCATAGCCCTCCCTTCAGCTTCTGAGCCAGCCTGCTTCCAAAACCTCTGCAGAAACCTTGATGCTCCCAGCTACAAGAGAAGGGCAGTATGTCTCCCTGATCCCCTCCGTCTTCAAAGAATCATTGCAAGTCGCTTAGAATCATAGAAAATGAGGGTTGAAGGGCCCTCAGGAGGTCACATCTAGTCCAACCCCCTGCTCCAAGCAGGATTGTCCCCAAATAGATCATCCCAGCCAAGGCTTTGTCTACCCAGGCCCTAAACACCTCCAAGGATGGAGCTTCCACCACCTCTCTGGGTAACCTGCTCCAGTGCTTCACCACCCTCCTCGTGAGAAAATTCTTCCCAATATCCAACCTCAGCTTCCCTTGCTGCAACTGGAGCCCATTGCTCCTTGTCCTGCCGTCTGTCCCCACCGAGAACAGTCCGGCCCCATCCTCTTTGGACGGAGGCACAGCTGGCTTTAGGCAGAGCTGACTTTCACGCTTAGCAAGAGCCAGCAGCAAGTACTGGAGTCAGCCCTGCTGCTGCCTGCGAACGCCACAGGCTGTCAACAGCCTCTCCAGAGAAAAGCAAAATTCAGACTGAGCTTCTAAGCCTGGCGCTGGGGCGGCTTCCAAGTCCTGCCTGCAGAAGATGGGCTCCATCCACTACGTCGGGGTACAAACTAAGCACTCTGCCTTTCGAGCCTGGCGAGATTTTGGGGGTGGGGGAGCTGTGCCTGCACGACACCACGGAGACAGAAGATTGAATGTTTTCGCGTGGGGGTATCAGCTGTTCAGTGCCGGCGGCTCGTTTTAGGCAGGCTGAAAGCGGACGACTTATCTAGGATGCTCGCTAAAAGCAGCGCTAGGGAAGCCAGCATCGATAAAAAAAAAACAAAAAAAAAAAAAACACCTTGAAGGCGTTTTAAAGGAGAAGATTTTAAAAGCATCCAAGATAAAGCAGCACAAATCTACAGGGCTCCACACTGACAGATGCCTTGAGTGCAGGGGGGGTCCCCCCCTTCTCTTTGAGAGCAGCCGACTTATTTAGGATGCTCGCTAAAAGCAGCACTAGGGAAACCGGTGTCGATAAAAACACCTTCAAGGTGGTTTTTAAAAGGGGAACATTGTTTAAAGCATCCAAGAGAAAGCAGCGCAAATCCACAGGGCTCTGCATTGACAAATGCCTTGGGGGTGGGGGGTTTTCCCCCAGCTTCTCTTTCACTCAAGAATAATTAAAGAACCTTCCTGGTCCCACCACCAAAATCTCAGCTGCAGCTGCTGTGTGCTTGTCATTTGCTGTCTCTTCTGCAATCTGCTGCTGCTCTTATGCTTTTGGGGGGAGGGACACGACACACATTTGGCAAGAGAAGAGCTCCAGGGAGCTGTCTTGCTGGCTGCGTCTGGACGCTATGAACAAGATCGGGGTTTGCAGACCTAGGGGTTACGGTCGGATGTGAGAGGAACTGGCCTGCTGAGCTGCCTTCCTGCTTGCCACAGGTACAGACCCTGGGAAGGCAGAGGAAGAACAGTCTCTTCTGGGGAGCGCGGCTCCCCTTTTCCCATCAGCAGTCACCTCCTCCCTCTCCCGCCCAAGACGCCAGCCCCAGCCTCCCCCTGGTCACTCCTCCCAAAGCTTTTCACGTGTGCTGGGTGACCTGAGCGCAGGGGGCCTGGACCCGATGATCTCGAGAGGTCCCTTCCAGCCCCTAACTTCTACGAGTCTACGTCAGCTTCCCGGTCCCGCTTGGCATCAAGGGGCTCCAGTGAAAAAGACCATGATCTTCAAGGGACAAAGCCACCGCAATGAGGAATATGAAACGCTAAAACCTTGGTTGAGAGGTGATACCTTTTATTAGACTGACCAGAAAAGAGCCAAAAATTACCCTTCTTGGCCAGCTTTTGCGCTTGCAAAGACAGGTAATTTCTTTGCAAGGGGAAATTCAAGACGGTAACAGGTAATTTCTTGAGGGGAAATAAAAAAATGGTCAAAGTCCCTTAAGGTAGAAAATAAACTTCATTGTGCACAAAGGAAGCTGAAGGTGGATGTCTGTAGTTTATTTTCTACCCAAGGGGACTTTGACCATCTTTCAATCCCCCTCAGCCCGAAGAAGGCTGCATGTGCCCAACAGCTGGCAAACGAAGGTCATTTACTGGCTCTTTTCCAGTCGGGCTAATGAAAGCTATCGCCTCCGAACCACGAGTTTTAGCGTTTTGCGTTCCTTGTTGTACAGCTGTGTTGGTCTGAGATAACAGATCCCTCGTCACTGCAACTGCACGCACTCCCCTCGCCCTCCGGCAAGGCCGTTGCCCTTCCACCCAGCGGCTGAGACGGGACTAAATCCACCGGCCCCGCCAGCTTTCCCCTCCCCCTGGGGAGAACCGCATGACTTAGCCATGGAGGTTGTTTACTATCTCTGGTCTCCCCACCGCCACCCCCGCGCAAGTCGGCTTCCCCCTTCGGGCCGGGGAAACAACGGGGGGCGTTTGCTACGGGACAGCTTGTGCCCGTGACTGCGTCAGGCCTGTCAGGAGCGGAGGTATTTCTGCAGTGATAAATCTCGCCATCATCACCCCCCCACGCGCCTCAATGAATATCAGCTCCCCGCTATCTGCGAGCGATCACGTGGCCCTGCCCAGCGCACGCTTTGCCGAGCGGCATCTCCCCGACCCTGCCCCCCAAATCCGACCTCCCCCACCCACCGCCTCGGAGCTCCCTCTGGAAGCGCGCAGACGCCCGAGTATTTGCCGGCAACTGGCTGCCCGCACCCCGGAGGTTTGCTGCCAGGCATCGTTACCCCGAGCAGGGGGGTCTCGAGCTTCGCGGGGGCCACAAAACGTTTGCTCTAATAGCAATGAGGCCAGGCCCCCTGCACACACCGCAGCTAAAGCTTCCTCTTTGGGCCAGTCCTGCCCTCCTCACTGGGGGGGGCGGGGGGGGGGGGCCCCGCCCCT